GGAAAATTATAAGTGCATATACATCTTTCATTAATATGACTTCAATGAAGGAATTGTTGTTTCTCAAAAGGAGTTGTTACTTGTTAAAAAAAAAAAGCGCACTACATACAGGAAGCTGCCTTCTCCTGGACCATTTTCACATTATGTGGGAGATGCAAATTAAACAATACAAAATACAGTATTTATCACATTTAACACTGAACCCCTCACTGCTCAGAGACTGAGAGTCCAGCGAGGTTGCAGAATAACAAGTTTCCTGTGGGGCTTTTCAACTTGGCATGTGAGTGGTCTGCTTAGGGCACTTGAAGAATTTCTCTAGGGAGCGTCATGGGGGTCCCCCTGGCACAGCTGAGCGATTGCATGGAATATGGAGCTCCCTTGGAATGGGACAAGGGAGATGTATAGGGGGATCAGGGCCCCACAATTTACAGCCAGCTGCAAAAGGGGGTGCTACCTGGGAAAGGTGATGAATGTCCAGGGTAGGAGCCCATGGCGACAGCACCAGGCAGTGGTCAAAGAAGGTCAAGTCGGATCCAAGGAAAAGGTGCAGAAGTTCTCTGGACTTCCTGCACAGGGACTGCAACCTTTTACTATTTGGCCCTCAGCCAAAAATTAAACCTCTTTTCTCTAGAGGTCAGGCAGCCGAGCAGAGGGCACTCCTGAGCCTCCTCGCTGGGGTCTCGGCACCTGGCTGGAATGGGACAAAGAACAGCACAGACAACACATGGCAGAGATTCGGGTTCTAATACTTAGAATGTCTGTAAGCTTGGCGGGGTCCTGGTGCCAAGGGCTGGCAGTGAGTGGAGTACCTCCTGGAGGTCACAGGAGCCCAAGGGAAAGTCGGGTCGGTGCAGCGCTGGGCCTGGAGGGACAGCCGGGTGGGCGATCCCAAACCAACTGATGCACTTGACTGGTATTTTGAAAGCAAGAGGGGGCCAAGAGAGCCTTTTTTCTTTGCATATAGACTATTTAAATGCATATTTGCTGTGGCTCTGTAGTCTCCACTTAGGAGCAGATTACAAGCAGAGGAATTGTTACACAAATAATTTTCCCTGTAGCTTCTACTCTTATCTGTTTTTCCCCCAACAGGGGAGAAATGGAAATGATTCTTCACTTAATCACATAGTCAAGACTTAGGGCCACATTTACATTCTTGGAGCAAGAGACTTAATGGTTCTGGTCCACAGATTCCAGAGGAAACTGCCTTCAAATCATCCACAAGATTTTTAAATATCTTGGATTACTTGAAAAATGACCAGACCTCTGAAAATTCAATCATTTCACGTATAATTCAGGAGCCCTGTAGAGAAGACAGGTTAATTTCAAAACAGAGTTTTAAAACCAGTTCTGTATCCTTTATANGGCATGTGAGTGGTCTGCTTAGGGCACTTGAAGAATTTCTCTAGGGAGTGTCATGGGGGTCCCCCTGGCACAGCTGAACGATTGCATGGAATATGGGGCTCCCTTGGAATGGGGCAAGGGAGATGTATAGGGGGATCAGGACCTCACAATTTCCAGCCAGCTGCAAAAGGGGGTGCCACCTGGGAAAGATGATGAATGCCCAGGGTGGGAGCCCATGGTGACAGCACCAGGCAGTGGTCAAAGAAGGTCAAGTTGGATCCAAGGAAAAGTGCAGAAGTTCTCTGGACTTCCCGTACCGGGATTGCAACCTTTTACTATTTGGCCCTCAGCCAAAAGTTAAACCTCTTTTCTCTAGAGGTCAGGCAGCCAAGCAGAGGGCACTCCTGAGTCTCCTCGCTGGGGTCTCGGCACCTGGCGGGAATGGGACAAAGAACAGCGCAGACAACACATGGCACAGATTCAGGTTCTAATACTTAGAACATCTGTAAGCCTGGCAGGGTCCTGGTGCCAAGGCTGGCAGTGAGTGGAGTACCTCCCTGGAGGTCACAGGAGCCCAAGGGAGAGTCAGGTCGGTGCAGCGCTGGGCTTGGAGGGACAGCTGGGCTGGCGATCCCGAACCAACTGATGCACTTGATTGGTATTTTGAAAGCAAGAGGGGGCCAAGAGAGTCTTTCTCTTTGCAAATAGACTATTTAAATGCATATTTGCTGTGGCTCCATAGTCTTCACTTAGGAGCAGATTACAAGCAGAGGAATTGTTACACAAATAATTTTCCCTGGTAGCTTCTACTCTTATGTGTTTTCCCTCAACAAAGAAAAATGGAAATGATTCCTCACTTAACCACATAGTCAAGACTTAGGGCCACGTTTACATTCTTGAAGCAAGAGACTTAATGGTTCTGGTCCACAGATTCCAGAGGAAGCTGCCTCCAAATCATCCACGAGATTTTTAAATATCTTGGATTACTTGAAAAATGACCAGACCTCTGAAAATTCAATCATTTCACATATAATTCAGGAGCCCTGTAGAGACAGGTTAATTTCAAAACAGGGTTCTAAAACCAGTTCTGTATCCTTTATAGCTAATAAAGACCCCATACTCTTTTTTTTCAATAGAACATCGCTGGTTTGAGGATGTGAATTTTTGTTTGATTGATGGGCTGGCCTTCTACCTACCATGTAGATCCTGTTTAAAGGAATATTTATGGAAATGCCTAACACATGTTACTGATACTCCAAAGATTATTAAACCTAAAAGCATCTACAATGCAAGATTATTTGACTCTAATATACTTCCTGCATGTTATTTATAGTGTCCTGTCAATTAATAATTTCCTTGTTTTACCCTTCCTTTTCCCTCCCTTCTTAATTTAAAAAATTTTACTGGGGTATTTAACCAAAGGATTAAAGTATTAGTGAGGCCAAATGAAAAGCAACAAAACAAGTAAAAAACCGTCAGAGCCTTCCTATCTTTTCAAAAAGTGAAAATTTTAAACTGCTTAATGCAACTCCAAAAACTGCTCTCAGGAAAAGGAAATAAACTAAATGTCAGGCTTTTTAACTTACTTTCCCAGGTATCCCAGCATTTGCTAAGAGGAAGGAATGCTCTGCTGGCTGTCCTTGGAGCACAGAAAGAGCAGCAGCCATGAAGGCCCAGGGCCAGTTGCAAGGTAAGGTGATGGGATTGCCAAATGCTGGAAAAGATGAGGGTGGATTTGAATGGTGAAGACATCTTCGGGTCTAGGATTATTTTATGGATTGGGTTTTCAAAACCAAAGAAAAAGTTGAGAATTCTTTTCATCATGTTATTCCACAAAGAATGCTGGGCTTGGCACAATGAAGAACAGCTCTCTATAGTTCTGATATATTAACCACTATGGAAGCGCTAAGGGTTGGCACCCTCAGAGGTCAGGGCTGCAGCTAACCCAATTCCCTTGGGCTCTGTTGACCTACCATGGGTTTGTGATCAGTAGGGAAACCAGCCATCTACCCCAAAGGTAACCGCCATTATCGGAAACCTGGTCACAGGCCCTGCGGGCATCTCCTCACTCTCAGCCTTTGCACACGAGGAACTGACAGTGCGCACCAGAGACGCTGGCTTTGAATAGAAACACAGGATTGGACAATAGACAATATTCCAAACAAGACACAACGTGCACAGTGTTTTCAGGACTGGGTAACACGAGACATTTTGAACTGCTCCTTGGTGCTCAGTTTAAATGAAAGCTTTGGTCTTGAGAGAGTCCATTTCCAGGGTCATGGAGACAATCTTGGAGACAATGATGATGGATGAGAGAGAGAATGATGAGAAGAACATGATGGGATGTAGAGAAGAGCACAGGATGGGGGGCACATCTCACCTTACCCTGGCCTCACACTGCTTGCATCAGCTCAGGGATGGCCTGTGATCCTCACCAAAGGGGGAGCTGAGCTCCTCTCTGAGGGAAGGGAGGCGCCTGCCTGGCCCTCTAGAACCTAACCCCCTCTAACCCTCACACAGGGCAGCCTTTGCTAGCGCCTACCCATGCTGCTTAGTCCTGACACCTCCTGGATGGTCCCAGGATATGATGATGTGGCTGAGGTACCTCCATCTAGGGTCCAGCCTCTGCAGCTCAGAGATACAAAACTCAGGAACCTCTGGTGTGACCAGGGGCTCCATGGAAAGATATTGAAGTAAAGCTAGTAAAATAATGGCCGTAGACTATGTTCCTATCTGTCACCAGTGACACTGGATAATCAAACTAAATGAAAAATAAACACCATATATTTTGCTACATAACCAAATGGTGAACGTAAGGCAAACTGTGCAAAATAAAGCCCTTGGGAATGCATCCAGCCCTGCCTGGTCTCAGGCGAGTGGCTGCAGGCCCTTCCTAACACTGCTTTCAGACCTGGGCTCCTACTGAAAGGGTTCCTCAGGCATCTGACCCAACCTGCACCTCTCACATCTTGAACCTCCTGTTAACAAGAACAGAGGGAGGCACCATTAAGGTGGGTCCCCAGGCCGCACCTGAGCCCACTTGGAGGCCAGGGCCCCCACTCCTGACTCCCAATCACCCTCCAGCAGGGGTAGGGGCAGAGAGGGAGAGGGCCAGGTGAAGAGGGAGGGGAGGAAGAGGGGCAGGTTGAGGGGGAAGGGAGGGAGAGAGCCAGGTGAAGTGCAAGGGTGGATGGCAAGCACGTAGGGTGAAGACAGGTGGGTGCAGCACGCAGCGGGCACAGCAGGCCGAGGAACTCAGGGCACCCACTTGGCAAGATAGGCGCAATGCTCCTGCCCAGCTTGGCCCTTGGGGCTGTCTGACCAGCACCAACAGCCACTTCCACCTTCCAGCCACACTGGCCAGGGCTGGGCAGCCAGCACCACACACCACTCACCTGGCCCAACCCAATGCTGCCCAGATTCAACCCCCTTGAATGACAGGATGTCTGGCTGGGCTGTGTGCTCTCCCAGGGCAACCCCGTCTCCAGTGGGGTCACTGGGGTCACAAGATCAGCACTGGAGCTTGCTAGCCTTTCTTAGTAGCCCTGTTCACTTCATCCCCAGGAGTGGGAGGTGCAGTCCCCCAGCACTGAAGCAGTCGGTCACATTAGGGCAGCAACAGCTTGTCCCACTGTCGCAAGAGGGCAAACATCCCGTGGTTCCCAGATGGACGTGCCATCCCTCTCTGGGCTGGGTGAAGAATGACGGAGAGCATGGGGCACAGGTCTGACCCTCTCACAGGGGCTTCTGGGTGATCAGAACAATCCCGCCAAGGCCCCAAAGGCCAGAACCGCTGCTGGCTTCCAAAGAAAGGAGAACAGCCCCAGGCAGCCCAGCACACTTCCAGATGCCATTCAGGTGGGAGCAGGCCTGCCGATCCCAGTGCCAGCAAAGGGCTGCAGGCTGGGACAGTCAGCCAGATTAAAGGGAGGGCAGCGGCAATAACAGATCTGTCTGCAGCACCCTAGTGGGCAGGAGGGCTGCAGTTCTCTGTCTGCAATCACACAGGAGTGCTCGAAGCATGAGGGGACACAGTGGGTCTGACAGCGAGGGACCTTGGGTTTTCTGTCCTGGTAGTCCATCTGCTCTGTCCTCCAACCACCTCAGCTTTCTGGATCCATGTACTGAAACTATGACCATGGTCTAGGGTGCAGGGTGAGTGACGGCGGGTGGGAACACCCCTCCAGACGGCTGAGGCACCCTTTTTCAGAGCACTACTGAAATCAGGGCCTTGCTCTTCCATGTGATCCCCCTCCTTCCGGTCCAAGCTACAGTTACTTAGTAAGACATTTCAGACATGAATCTGGGAGGGGAGAGGAAAGTCCTAGAATTTAAACCATGTTCACTGTAAGCAGATTTTTCCCGTGAGTGAAGACGGAGGCAGCTGTGTCCTGGAACCTAACAGCACAGGGTCATGGAGACTCTCCCAGCAGGAGTGAGGAGTCCCTGGAGCTGCAGGCCCTCCACACCGTTCCTCATCACTGGGGACTCGTTTAAGAATCTGCAATGTGAAATGCTTGGCCCGGAGGCTCCCTGAGGATTTTCCACAGTTGCTCCTGGGAATGCAGAACTCCCACCCGTCCTGCCCACAAGCTTGGCAGAAGCCCACCATGCTGGGAGGTACAGCTGTTCTCTCAGCCCAGGCCCAGGGAGGCAGTGCTGGAAGTGGCCCACTCCAGGCAGCAGAAGGTGGAGAGCCAGCAACAGGTGCTTGGGAAAAGGGGTCAGTTATCACCTAGTGGCATGGCCACAGCCAGCTCTGCCTCTACAAGGCCGTGATGGGCAGAACCTGCGGAGGAAAACAAGAGGGAAGAAGGCAGAAGGCATAGGCCTCATGGAGCTGTGTGAGCTCCGGAACCATCCTGTGCCTCCCAAGAGAGAGGGCGTTGTGTCCGTGGAAGGCTCAGCATCCCCGGTGATGCCAGAGACCCCAGGCCGCTCGAGATGGAGTCCCAGCTGTCCTAGAGTCCTGAGCGGGCTCCACATCTCAGACCCCAACACCAGTCTCTGCACAACTACTTTCTCCATACCTTAGTGGATCAGGAAGGGCCGTAAAAAGCACATAAATGCAGGAGCCAGTGGGGCCACAGGGGTGGCAAAGCACTGTTTCCCCTTGGAAGGCTGAGCGCCTGCCCAGTGGGCAGGGTCTGCCCCGGAGGAGGGGTAGAGCAAATTTACAGGGCGCCAGAGAGACAAGAGCAGAGGGCACTGCGGTCCAACTCGAGGTGGCAGATAACTAGTTTTTCCTTTTCTGGGCAGCCTTTCTCTTCTTCTGTCGCTTCTTTTTTCCTATCTTGTCTTTTATCCCCACTTTTTCTTCTCTGCGCCCCCTTAGATAAAATTAGTAGAACCATTAATGATGTTGAAATACACAAGAACTGTGTCAGTCTGCATAACATTTAACACTGGACCATTTGTTTTCTTCAGTCCCCTGCCTGGAGGCCCCTGGGCAAAACACTGTCCATCAGTACTTCATTAACAGAAATCAGACATTTTCTCCCACTCAAAAAATAAGCTTAGAGGGGTTTCCACAATAGCTGTGAACTGCTTAGAGCAACTGCCAATTTACCAAGCTGAGGCTGGCCCCAACTATTGCCCAAGGCTTCCAAACAGGGAAGAAATGCACCTTCAAGAGGTGAAATTCACATCACACCCCAGGCACCAGGCTGGACTTGGTCAATTATCTTACTCAACCTGGCCTCCTTGGGCTTCATTCCTTCTCAGTGCAGAGCTGAACTCTTCACTTGAACTACAAAAACCCTGCATTTCAAATAGAATAATGCTTTTTGGAGTTTGGAGGCCCAGTATTCACACAGCCATCTGGAGAAAGAAGGTGGCTTGATTCCACCTTCTCCTTTCTGGAGCCTATAGGCACCCCTCGGAATGACTGAAATTGTTCTGGCAAGAAAGGGAGAGAGATGATCAGCAGAATTTTATTAGAGCAACTGGCTCATGACTGTCACATTAAAATGATTCAAGCTGAATGGTATTTAATGAATTATGTGGAAGGACCACCTGTTTTTGTGAAAGCTTGATATTAACCATGGCCTGGAATTATGGGATTTTTGCATGGTAAAATGTGAAAACTGGATATTACGAGGATTGAGTCTTTGGAGATTATATGGGGATGTTAGGAGGACTGGGGAGAGGAGGGAGAGAAGGGGAATTAGTGAGTCATATTAATCTTCAGAAAACTTGCACTGCTGTTTCCACTGGGTTTAATAATTTTAAAAGAAGAGGCAAAAATTTGAGTTACAGATCTAAACTGCTTCTGAGCAAGGCCCATGTGCTGGCCTCACACGTGAACGAGCAAGAGGCGTCTAAGGCAGCCGCCAGCAGAGCAGCATTTCTTCATCAACTCCAGACATGTGTGTGAGCCCCAGGTCTGAACTAATGAGTTTTATTTCAGGTAAATAAATTCCCACATACAGTAGGAGGTTTATGCCATGAAACAATTAGCATTTTATTGCTAGTACATATGTCACATTTGATACAATCTTAATACAAGTGAAAAAATACGCTGTGGCTAACATTAAAAAGCTGCAATCACATTTATAGTTCATTATTTCTTTACAAATTGCCAGTAGTTGAAGACAATAGAGAAACATAATCTACTGACATTCATATGGCTTCACTTCAAATATATGAATTGCTCGACTGTAAATATATTCTGAAATACATTTGTTTTCTAAAGAAACATTTAAAAATGTGCACAAAAAGTATATATTTAAAAAATGTCTTGCAAAAAGTTTCAAATACAACCAGGCCCATCTGTGGATCACATTTATGCATAGAAATTTCAACTTGCCAACATCTCTGACTGGAACCTAACTGTTGTGGTTCAGGAGAAGGGGTTAGTGGCAAGAGGCTCATTTATTCATTTATTTTTTCACTTCTGATTTCAGAAACTTCAGAATTTATAGAGAGCCTCCATGAGGCAATCTCAGAATCCAAATTCCTCAAAGCACGCTCTCAGATTGAAAACGGCATCTGATTCTGCAAAGAGTTGCCTTTCTTGGGATGTAAGTGTGAGAGTCATGATCTCACACTCCCCAGGGGAGGGCCAGCCCCATTGTGGACGAGGCCAGGGAAGATTCTCACAGAGGGCCTGGGCAGGAGGGGAGGCCAAAGGGAGGAGGGGGCTGCAGGGCAGGAGCCCCAGTGAACCCCCTCCTCCTGCTGAGCAAGTACAGAAATGAGAAGCAGGCGAGACATGAAAGCATGCTGTGGGAGGCAGGGAGAGGGCTGGGAATGACCGGGAAAGGGTCTCTGTGCAGTCCCCAGTGACAGCGGCTTCTACACGGAGCCTGCAGATTCGCTGGCTTGAAAGATCAGGTAAAGCTGGTGGCTGCTGCCTAGCAGTACTCAGTGCTAGGAGCACCTGGCTGTCATTCAGGAGGGATGCCCTGGCAGGAGCCACCTGCCGTCCTCCTCCAAGCCTTGGCATCTGGAGGAGGGACATTTTTCTGAGCTCCATGCTTGGCCATCACCTAACTGTGCTCAGAATCCCCAGGGCAGAAAGGAGAAGCCCCAAAACAAGTCATGTACAGATCTTGAAGTAATCATTGATTGAGAAAAGGGTAATGAAATGATGCTGACTGTTATGATAATGAGGGAACTGACTGGTGGGAAATGCAGTTGGGATAATACAATTTCTTAGAAAACCCCAGTTATAGGACAGCCAGTGTGCAAGGGCACAGGGCATGAGCGAATACAAGCTGCAATACACGATAAATGCAATTGTCTTCATGCTGGGCAAACCTCCAGCCCGTTCCCAGGTCAGTGTGCTACCCATAGGCACACCTGGTGCTGCTACTCAGGCTATCCTTCCCCCACCTCTGCCTTCACATCCCTCACATGGTTTTAAATTTCTCAAGTGGATCTAGAGGGAAGTCCTTTCTGGCTGTGGTGCTTACTTGTTTAAAGCTTTCTCCAGGTATTCCTGAATCCACTTCAATTTCGGGTCAATGCACACTTGTCTATTGTTGTTCTTCAGCCTTGCCCTGCCAAAACAGAAGAGGCAACAGTGTGCAGCTGCACAGAAGGTGGCACTGTGGTCGTCTGAGCGTTGTTCGGTCATCTGACACCCATGTCAGGACCCCCACTGGTGCCCAGTGCCCCACCTGACAGGCTTGGGTTCTGGAGGAATTCAAGGGAGGCTGGAGAAACCCAGCGCTTAGGAGTGTGGCAAGCTCCACTGCAGAAAGATGGGAAAATGAAACATCTTTATGGGGTGGCCAGGGAACATTTCAGTTGGCTTTGGAAGGATGAGTAGGAGTCCAGCAAGTGAAGGGAAGGGAGGGGGGAAACAGGAGTTTCCAGCCAATGTCCAGAGAGTGCGGAGGAAGAGCGGGGGCAGGATGCTCAAGAAGCAGGTGGCCAGATGAGAAGCGCAAAGGAGGGGGATTTTATCTGCAAAGTTATGGGGACTTGTGAGGGTTTTAAACAGGACAGTGACAGCAGCAGAGTTTTGGCTCGATCATCTTTCTAGTACATGGAAGACAGACTTCAGAGTAAGCCTTGGATGTAGCAGACCTACGAGAGGCACTGCCTGCCTTAGTCTGGGGAGAGAAGGGAGCAAGCAGGACAAGAGGGACGGGGCACAAGGTGGGGGCAGGGCAGGTAGTTTGGCAGAAAATGGTTTCCAGAGAGATTGTACAAGTTCAATGACTGCTCCTCGGTCTCATTTGATTTTTTAAACATGCTGGCTAAATTCACTCTCTGATGAACTCTCTCTCAAAGGAGAGAATTTTATTGTAAACAAACTATGTGAAAAAACATTTATTTTCTAGCAGCCTAAAACATATTGCAAATGAAAACATATTCAAGGCAGCAAAGACTGGGAAAAAAAAAAAAGAGAAAATCAACCTTAAAAAACGCTGGTGTTGGGTGGAAAAGCCTTCAGGAAATTCAGCTTTCTTTCTAACTGCTGTGTTCCTGTCTCATTTTCAGCACTGGGACTTTGCAGGGGATGAGCTCTCCCCAGGAAACCCCAAGCCTCACCCCCAGGCATCTAGATACACGACTACACTTGCTGTGTGGCTTTTTTTCCTGAGCTTCACCCAGCCTCCTGCGCCCCAGGTGACAGATCTTTGCATGTTATGTATGTGTGATTTGGGTTTATCTTGTTTCCCACCTGAAGGAAATCAAATGTTAACAGTTGCCATCAACCCCCCAACAAAACAACAAAATCTCGGGTATTGTATTTGAGAACATGTAGGTAAGTAAGCTGAAAATATTGGGTTTCACCAAACGGTTAAAGATGACTTAACACAGAATTTGGGTCTTGTGAGGTTTTGCTATGTGAAGAAAGACTAATTTAGAGCACTGAAGCCCCCAACCTGGTAGAACCATTACTGGTAAAGGGCTGGCTCACTTGCTGGGCCTTCAGCAGAAACTTGGGTGAAGGCCACGCTTCTCCAGGCTGGAGGCAGCCAACTGCCATTTGCTGCCCTGCAGGGAGGAAACTTAGGAAGAAGAGACGAGGACCACTACGAGCACAGCGGGGCACCAAGGGTCAGGGGAGTGACTTTTGAAGCTCCTGCCTGGTGGCACACTCAGAGGCCTCGAGGTAGGAACATGTGCCTCTGATTAAGTCAAGCTCAGGGCTGGACACAGCATGTCATTCCTCCAGCTCTCCCAAGTCTGCCAGTTAGTTGTTCCTATGCCCATCAGGAGTAGCATTCCTGGAGGGTGATGTTCTGACTTCCACAATCTGAAGGGCACAGTTTGGGGTGTTGAGGATTTGAGATGCTTGATCTTGCCTCTGGCAATGTGGCTCTCGAAGAATCGGCAAGGACATCTGTAGCTCAGGCTGACTGGTTTCCCTAGAAGAGGTAATGAGAACAAGAGCTGGTTGGCCTGCCAGGCCTTGAGGATACACGTGTCTGGGTCTGCAGGCCAGGGGCCGTGGGCTCAGAAGGCAGAATGATGGCAGGATCAAGAGGGATGGGTAAGTCATGGGCACACCTGTGCCAAGAACTCTTGGGCAGCTTAGGGGGCTCTGGGTACGCTCAGACTTAGCTTCCACAGGGCCAGAGGGCAAAGGCCCTTGGACAGCTAGACCTAGGAAGGCAGGGACCTAAATAAGAAGCCCACCTGCACAGGTGTGTCAAGATAAAGTCTGTTAATCACAGGAGAGAAATGTTTCAGTCTAAGGCACTGAGGTCCTGGTTATTCTTTGCAAAATAAACTCCCCCAGGGCCAACTGAGAAAGACCTTGTTAGTCAGGGGAGGAGAAAGAAGGAGGTTCCTTGGCTCTCTCTGCTCCCCCATCTGGCATGGGCCTCATCCCAGGAGCTCCGCAGCTCCCCTGGGAATGCCGCCCCCTCTCCATCCCCTCCTGCAGTCTTCTTTCCCACTCCACCTTCAGTCCAGGCCACACCAAAAGAATCCCAGCAGCAGAGGCCGCCTTCTCCCCAGCACTTCCCTGAGGTCCTGGAGATTATCAGGCTGGAGTCAAATGTGGCTTTCATTGTCTAGGCAGGGGCTTTGCAGCCTCCAAGGTTGTAGTACATCTTTGTCAATTTACCAATTTGCAAAATGCAGTAATTGACACTCATTAGTGTAAATTAGCCAGGTCTTCTGCAGAACCTACCACTCACCCTTTACATCTAGAATTGCAAGCCTGGGGTCTGGGATTTGTGTGCTTTTTTCTTTTCTGCAGATTTTATCCAAGCCCTACTTAATACCCCAAATTATTTGAATCTGTGAGACTTTCGTCAGGGTTTAAATGTATGTCAGAGAATATTAAGTCCAGAGGTATAAAAAAAAGTTTGCCTGTTTACAGAGCTCCCAGAGGCCTCCTGGTGGTGGTGAAGTTCTGCACTTTGGGACGAGACTTGTGTTAGCCACAAGAAAGCTTGTGAGTGAGGGACTTCTTAACTTTTTCTTTCCAAAGGCAGCATTCAGTTGATAAGACATGGCCTGGGGGCAGCAGCCTATTTAGCCACCATGTCCAGGGAAAAGCAGATAACTTGGCCTCCCAGGACCAAAGTGGACTTGGAAAATTAGGAAGGAGAAAGCCAGGCTTCAGGGAGCCCAGTGACTCCAGGGACGGGAGTAGCCTTCACTCAACCCAACTCCAGAAAGTCTGCAGGTGCCAGGCTTTTAGCAACTGCACTGGGTCCCTGCAGGGGAAGTCTGTACTGCACTGTAACCAGATCACTTGAGAAAGTGACCCCAGGGCTGGGAGGCCTGGGTAATGGAGGTGCCAGTCTCCCACCAGTGTCCTGCCCCAGGTTTCCGTGGAATTCTCATGGGTCCTCCTGAGCTGAGCAGGGACTGGAGGACTGGGGCCCGTGGTGAGGCAGGATGGGTCCCAGTCCCAGAGCAGCAGTGAGCTGAGAGGCACACAGTGTGAGCACTGGGGTGGAAGGGGGCTGCTGCTCTGCTGTCTCAGAGAAGCTGTTCTGGCTCCACTGACCAAGCAGTGGAGATCAGGCCAGAAATCAAAGCTGATTCTGAGCTCAAAACACAAGCTTTTTCTTTCTTCCCTCTTCCTTCCCTCCCCCCTGGGATTATCCATTTCCTTCAAAGGCAATTCTTATTCCTGCTCCCAGGACCCAGTTGTGGGCCTGTCAAGTGGGGAATTTCAACAGGTTTTTTAAAGTGACAGAACACCAAGTGATTTTACTAAGAAAATTTGGTGCCATGTCCACCTGGAGTCCTTTCTCTAGCTTTTTATGAACATTAGTACCTTTTCCAACTGTTAGGGATATGACAAGGTGTTTGGGCAGGCTGCAGAGTTGGCCCAGATGTTACGTGGTGTTGGAAACTGGTTAATGTGGCCATGTTCTGGAGCAGTTCCCTGAAAACCTTCTAATGCAGAGACAGGAGCCTGGGCCAACCTTTCCCACTAGGGCTGGGAATGGGGCCCACACTGGGTTTAACCCCTGGAAGCCTAGGGCACCCAAGGTACCAGCTGCTTGGCTGAGGTCAGTAAGTGGGGGAAGGGCCAGAGCTGGAGCTAAGGTGTCTCTAAAATGCAGTGTGGGACTCTGTGAGCCAAAAGTGCTTTCTGACCTACACATGCAAGGAAAACCAAACCAGCCTGGAGCCCAGGACCCTGACCTGGCCACCTGGCTGCCAGGAAGGCAACTCAGAGTGGCCACCAAGCAGCCTCCCCAGGGTCAGAAGGAGTCTCTCAGTGAGGGTCCCACTCCCTCTGTGCCACCAGTTCAGGACTCAGTGACCTGGATCCCCAAATTCCAGTCCTTTCTGTAGCTCCCTAGAGGATGGGGCATCTAGGGACAGCACCATTTCCCCCAGAGAGGCACATTATGACACATCCATTCTACCAGACCACTTGATTTGTTAATGCCCCACCCAGAGTCCTGGAGATGCTCAGTTTGTTAACGTCCCACTCCTGGAGAAAAGTATCCTGGAGATACAGCCTAGGATACCTTTTTGGCTAGGAGGAAAATTCTGAATTGCCTTTGATCTGATCCCTCTGCAGCTCTGACCAGCAACTGCTACACTTTTAAAGAACACTTCCCCAGGTGCTCAGCCTGAACCTGTTAGTCCAGGACCTGGCCAAGCCACATGCATGCTCACCTTGCCCACACTGGCTTCAGGGCCACTAGCCCAGAATGCCACAGTGGGGCACTGGCTGGAAACCAGCCTTGTACTTCAGGAGCCTGGTTCCTGCACATTCCAAGGCTGGCCGTGCTAAAGAGCACTGAGTGTCATGAGTGTCCTGAAACCCTGTGCTGTTCGATGGAAACTTCACAGCGAAGCAGGGCAGCGTGGCCTAAGATGGCTTTGTTTGTGTGTCCAGAGAAGACAGTTTATTTTGGTTTGCAGCACCAGAGTCCTGTGGCAAGGACAGTGAGGTCTCTCTTAAGCTTCAAAAGAGAATGCTCTCCAGTGAAAAGGGACACCACCTTTCCCAGTGGCCTATATCTGGGTGACCCAACTTCGCTTCGTTGCAGCGCTCGCTCTGAGGTGAGCGTGCTCACTTGGCTGGTGACAAAGGCGCTTGCCTGCATGGGTATTTCGGGGCTGCAGAGGCGCTTGCGCGATCTGCACGGCCCCTGGAGCTCTCTTGGCTCTCTCTGCTCCCCCATCTGGCATGGGCCTCATCCCAGGAGCTCCGCAGCTCCCCTGGGAATGCCGCCCCCTCTCCATCCCCTCCTGCAGTCTTCTTTCCCACTCCACCTTCAGTCCAGGCCACACCAAAAGAATCCCAGCTAGCTTCCTACCTGGGAGACCCAGAGGGCAGATAGAGGGCCGCCTTCTCCCCAGCACTTCCCTGAGGTCCTGGAGATTATCAGGCTGGAGTCAAATGTGGCTTTCATTGTCTAGGCAGGGGCTTTGCAGCCTCCAGGGTTGTAGTACATCTTTGCCAATTTACCAATTTTCAGAATGCCTTAATTGACACTCATTAGTGTAAATTAGCCAGGTCTTCTGCAGAACTCACCACTCACCCTTTACATATAGAATTGCAAGCCTGGGGGCTGGGATTTGTGTGCTTTTTTCTTTTCTGCAGATTTTATCCAAGCCCTACTTAAATCCCCAAATTATTTGAATCTGTGAGACTTTCATCAGGGTTTAAATGTATGTCTGAGAATATTTAGTCCAGAGGTATAAAAAAAAGTTTGCCTGTTTACAGAGCTCCCAGAGGCCTCCTGGTGGTGGTGAAGTTCTGCACTTTGGGACAAGAGACTTGGGTTAGCCACAAGAAAGTTGTGAGTGAGGGACTTCTTAACTTTTTCTTTCCAAAGGCAGCATTCAGTTGATAAGACATGGCCTAGGGACAGCAGCCTATTTAGCCACCACGTCCAGGGAAAAGCAGATAACTTGGCCTCCCAGGACCAACTGGACTTGGAAAATTAGGAAGGAGAAAGCCAGGCTTCAGGGAGTCCAGTGACTCCAGGGACGGGAGTAGCCTTCACTCATCCCAACTCCAGAAAGTCTGCAGGTGCCAGGCTTTTAGCAACTGCACTGGATCCCTGCAGGGGAAGTCTGTACTGCCCTGTAACCAGATCACTTGAGAAAGCGACCCCAGGGCTGGGAGGCCTGGGTAATGGAGGAGCCAGTCTCCCACCAGTGTGCTGCCCCCAGGTTTCCGTGGAATTCTCATGGGTCCTCCCGAGCTGAGCAGGGACTGGATAACTGGGGCCAAGTGGTGAGGCAGAATGGGTCCCAGTCCCAGAGCAGCAGTGAGCTGAGAGGCTCACAGTGTGAGCACTGGGATGGAAGGGGGCTGCGGCTCTGCTGTCTCAGAGAAGCTATTCTGGCTCCACTGACCAAGCAGTGGAGATCAGGCCAGAAATCAAAGCTGATTCTGAGCTCAAAACACAAGCTTTCTCTTTCTCCCCTCTTCCTCCCCTCACCCCTGGGATATCCATTTTCTTCAAAGGCAATTCTTATTCCTGCTCCCAAGACCCAGTTGTGGGCCTGTCAAGTGAGGAATTTCAACAGGTTTTTTAAAGTGACAGAACACCAAGTGCTTTTACTGAGAGAACTTGGTGCCATGTCCACCTGGAGTCCTTTCTCCAGCTTTTTATGAACATTACTACCTTTTCCAACTGTTTAGGATATGACAAGGTGTTTGGGCAAGCTGCCGAGTTGGCCCAGATGTTACCTGGTGTTGGGACCTGGTTAATGTGGCCATGTTCTGGAGCAGTTCCCTGAAAACCTTCTAATGCAGAGACAGGAGCCTGGGCCAACCTTTCCCACTAGGGCTGGGAATGGGGCCAAGACTGGGTTTAACCCCTGGAAGCCCGGGGCACCCAAGGGCCCAGCTGCTTGGCTGAGGTCAGCAAGTGGGAGGAGGGCCTGAGCTGGAGCTAAGGTGTCTCTGAAATGCAGTGTGGGACTCTGTGAGCCATAAGCACTTTCTGACCCACACATGCAAGGAAAACCAAACCAGCCTGGAGCCCAGGACCCTGACCTGGCCACCTGGCTGCCAGGAAGGCAACTCAGAGTGGCCACCAAGCAGCCTCCCCAGGGTCAGAAGGAGTCTCTCAGTGAGGGTCCCACTCCCTCTGTGCCGCCAGCTCAGGACTCAGTGACCTGGATCCCCAAATTCCAGTCCTTTCTGTAGCTCCCTGGAGGATGGGACATCTAGGGACAGCACCATTTCCCCCAGAGAGGCGCATTATGACACACCCATTCTACCAGACCACTCGATTTGTTAATGCCCCACCCAGAGTCCTGGAGATGCTCAGTTTGTTAATGTCCCACTCCTGGAGAAAAGTATCCTGGAGATACAGCCTAGGATACCTTTTTGGCTAGGAGGAAAGTTCTGAATTGCCTTTGATCTGATCCCTCAGCAGCTCTGACCAGCAAGTGCTACACTTTTAAAGAGCACTTCCCCGGGTGCTCAGCGTGAACCTGTTAGTCCAGAACCCGGCCAAGCCACATGCATGCTCACCTTGCCCACACTGGCTTCAGGGCCACTAGCCCAGAATGCCACAGTGGGGCACTGGCTGGAACCCAGCCTCGCACTTCAGGAGCCTGGTTCCTGCACAGGACAAGGCTTACCGTGCTAAGAGCACTCAGTGTCCTCCAACCCTGTGCAGTTCGCTGCGAACTTCACAGTCAAGCAGGGTAGCGGGGCCTAACATGGCTTTGTTTGTGTGTCCAGACAGTTTATTTTGGTTTGCAGCAACAGCGTCCTGTGGCAAGGACAGCGAGGTCTCTCTTAAGCTTCAAAAGAGAAAGCTCTCAGGTGAAAGGGGGACACCACCTTTCCCAGTGGCCTATATCTGGGTGACCCAACTTCGCTTCGCTGCAGCGCTCGCTCTGAGGTGAGAGTGCTCACTTGAATGGTGACAAAGGCGCCTGCCTGCAGGGGTGTTTTCGGGGCTGCGGAGGCGCTTGCGCGATCTGCACGGCCCCTGGAGCTCTCTCTGGTGACCGGGGTCGCCCGCCGCTGGGGGCTGCGGAGCTGTGCAGAGCACGGCCGGGCGGGCAGCCCAAACCCTCCAGCTGCTCGGCGGATGCAGCGAGGGCCGGACTCCCCGGAGAGGACGCCGCTCAGCGGCCCGCATCGCACCGCCGCGACCAGCGAGTAGCGAAGCGAAAAGCGTTTTGCAAAGAGCTTTCCCGCACGAACCGCCAGTTGCACCTCCAGCACCAAGCGCAGAGGAGCTTCGGAGCCCGTGCGCCCCGGAAACCGCCGGGCGCGGGAAGGCGCCGCTCCACACCCGCGCCCTCCGCGCCTAGCCAGCTTTCCTGGCCGACCTCGCTCCGCAGTTTGCTCGAGCTCTGGCGGCCGCGCGGTCCCCGGAAACCCCAGCCCCTGCGGAGCGCGGAGCCACGTAAGGCTGGTGCTACGCCGGCTTGAGCAGCGCGCCCGACCAGGGGGCTGCATCGACCTACCCAAGGCTGTGCAATGCGAACCGGGTTCGCTCCAGGCGCGGAGCGCGGGGCGCGGCGTCTGCCCCTCGCTGCAGCCGAGCGTACTCACCGTCGCTGAGACAGAGCGCAGCCAGCACAGGGGCCAGCACGGCGATGACCTTGGCATCCATGGCACCGGCAGCGGGAGGACGCGCAGCGGACACGGCGGCGGCAAGGGCAAGCGCAGAGGCGGGAAGCGAGCGAGGGGCTGTTTAGAGGAGAGGGCAGCAGGCGGGGCCCGGCGAGGGGCGGGCCTGGAGCCGCATCCCGCGCTTCTGGGGCTCCGACAAGCGCCCCTCCCACAGACCGCTCCTCCGGCTCCAGCGCCTCCCTCCCTCCGCCTCCCGCACCTGGGTGACCAGGGCTGCTGCGCTCTGACCCGCTGACGTTGCGCGGGGCCTGCTCTGCAAGCTTGACCTCTGGCGAGGGACCAGCCGCGCAAGAAGGCTGGGCTGCGGGGCTGGGCACGGTTCCCATTCTGCAGACAGACAGACTGAGTTCCATAGGTGGGCGATGGATGAGAACCAACGAAACACCAGTCGGTGCCGGGGCTGAGACCCAGCTGGGCCGGCGCTCCCCGTTTCTGGAGTGTGGGACCCTAGGCGACCGCTGGCCCAGGTTCACTAAGAGCGCCTCAGAAGCTCGGCCCAAGGAACGAGGCCGGTGTTTGCAGGCAGAACTCCTATTCCAAGCCAAAGCCATCGCTTATTAGCCAAACCTCAGTTTCCTCACCTGTCAATTGAGGCTATAAAATGAACTTCCAACTATAAAGTAAATAAATCAGCGGGGTGAAAGCACCGCATAGGGAATAGAGTCAACAGTATCGTAATAACTTAGTGTGGTGACAGCTAGTCAACACACTTTTGTGGTGAGCTTATTAATGAATCACTGTGCTGTACACCTGAACCTAATAGAAACTAATATAATATTGTATGCCAACTATTCTTCAGTAACATAAAAGAAAAGAAAAATAAAATGCTACCCTCCAGGAAGGAAACAAAAGCAGTTCGCCCCTGAGGCTCAGTATACGTGAATTTACTTAACCCTTTGTACCTATGCTCTCTCAACTGTGAAACGGGCTAAGCATATTCCCTGCGAGTGGAGCGGGGGGAATCCTCCGCGAGTCTCCTCGCCACCACCGCGAAGCGCTCTGCATCCTGGGTGACACATAGCACTCAGTAAACGAAGCTAGAAATAATTGTTCAAACCTCAGTATTTCTGCCTCTACAGTGCAGGCCCTGTGCGACCCAAAGTGGTGAAAGGAGGCCCCCTACTCCCCAGCCCAGGCCTGTGCTCTAGCGTCAGCTTTTCTGGTCCTGGGAACTACACCCACCGAGTCGTCGCGTGGCAGCGTTAGCCCGCCGGTCGGCGCGCCCTGGACACGCCGAGAGGCCCGCCACCCCGGGAGGCTCCGCAGGGAGAGTGGGTTTCGGGCATAAGGAGCAGGGAGGGAGAGTGCGCGCCGCGCTGGCAGGAAGGGGCATCCTTTTGTATTTCGCCAGTGACCCCAGGACGCTCTGGCCACTGCGCCTACCCCTGCCGGTATGGCTAGATGTTGGGGTGGACTCCATCCCCGCGCGGTAGGGACCAGTTTCTATCCTTGGGGGTTCTAGGGTCCTGGCAGTGTGGGGGAGTGTTCAGGGCCCACCGGCCTGGGAGCAGCAGATCCCGCGGGGGGCTGTGGGGGGCGGTCAGCAGGAGGCTGCGAAGGCTCTGGGACTGCGGCCCGGGGATGGCTGTCCTCCGTGTCTTTTTCCCAAAAAGTACTTTCGAGCCCAATTAGATGAGCTGCGATTCTGCGCTCAGTCTTTTGTTCGTTGCTTCACTCCGGCCCTAGCCCGCGTCTGGACAGGGCAGGGGCACAGACAAGGGAAGCCCACCGGCGCGCTCCCTGCGCTAAGGTTAGGGAGGCTTTCTACGGCATCCCCGCCTCCCCGGTTTCCGCAGAGCGCGAGCGGCAGCCGTCCAGCCCTGAGCCCTGCCGGGCGGCCGGCGGAGCGCGACGGCTGAGCTCGGGCGCCCTCTGGAGGCAGAGGCTACCCTGGCTCCCGCCTCTTCCCCGCCCATCCGGGTCCCGGCTGAGGCTCCTCCTTCCCTTCCCCCTCCTCCCCGCCCCTCCTCTTCAACCGTCTCTCCCCACACCCCAACGTCACTTAACGTGTGTCTTTGATTCCTTGTGTGGGTCCAGATCCCGGTCTGACCTGGGCTTGGCCAGGACTTAAAGCCAGAGCCTTCTGTTCATTGCTCTTTTTGCCACAAATCGGGGTTTTGCCCGGCTATCCGAGGGAGGTGCTTGGAGGAGACGCATAGTCGCGGCTGAGGGGAGCAGGGCCTCCGGTCTGGCAGAGCCGTGGGACCCCAGGACACACAGGAGTGTGGGACCGTCAGAGCCCACGTACTCCTTTCATTGATTAAAATACCTACTGAGCATCTACTATGCTCCAGATACTTGTTGTTTGAAGTACTTCAGTAAAGGAAACAAAACAAAGCAAAAAAAAAAACACTCAAACCCCCTATCCTCGTGAAGTTTACATGCTGGGGAGGAGGGGAAAGGGGGGTGGAAATGGCACTAAACATGGGTAATTAAGGACATAATCTGTAGAGGTAGTTAGGTGCTAGGCGAAATTGGAGTGGAGGGGAGGGAGTTAGGATGTAAACTTTATATAGAGTCTCCATAATTTTTCATTGGCGAGTATTTAAATTTAAAAGGCTATACAGGCCAACACTCTGGGGCCAGGGGCCATCAGACTCTGCCTTTTTAACCTGGGCTCTTAGCCTGTCAACCTCTGAAGTTTGTTTTGGAATGTGTCTCTCAGTGCCTCTCGGGGGTCTGTACTTCTGCTGCGCTGCCCTTCTGGAGAGGGTTGGCTGAACACTAACTCATGAAGCAGCCGCTGGGGGACTTCTGGGACTGATCCTGTCTGTCTCGTGGTGTCCTTTGGAGGAGATCAACAACGTATTTATCTCTCTGTCATAAAAAGGAAGGAGGGAAGGCTCAGCAGAGAGCTTCAAGGTTAGGCAATGTTTGTGGAGTACAAATGGTATGAAGGTAGATGGGGCTGGACAAGGTGTGCAAACACAAGGGGCAGCAGAGGCCGAACCCTGGGCCATCTCATTTTCCTCTTTGAAAAAAACCTCCCAAAGTCAGGGCAGCAGAGCCCACCACACTTTCCCCTCTATCTTTAGCTTATGCCACTATCTCTGCTTAAAAGGCTCCACTTTCTTTCTTTTCCAGGGAACTCCGTTCCCCATCAAGACCCAAACAATTCCCGGTTCCCTATGAGATATTTCAGATCTCTCGCACACTTCGCACTCAGAGTTGCTGCTCCTCAGGGACACCTTAGTCATGTGGAGTTCAAGGCAGGAGGGAGGCAGGGTTAAAAGGCAGGCTCACCATCATGGCCCTATTGTGTTATGGTCTCTGGACCCCTGGTGCCCAGTCCACGTAGCCACCTGTGGTCCTCTGGCCAGTCTGGGATGTTTGCTCCTTCAGAATTCAATGGCTGAGTTTAGGGGAAAGGACCTTAGTTCAAGGTTGAAAGTTTGCACCAAATCATTGTTTCCTAGTGTGTAACTGACAGGATGACTTTAGGTGGCACTCTGAAAACAGTATTTCAAAAAATACAGATGTACATATTCATTTTTAAAAGCACTAAGAGAAAAGTATAACTAGCACAATAGACATTCAGGTATGGCTCAGGATTGATTCACTCTTTTAAGATATCATTTAAGTATTAAAAGATAAGTGGAATTAAATCAGCATAGCATGCAATAGTGGAAGTGATACGGATATCCCTAAATAAAGATCATTCTTTTTGTATTATTTGATACTACCCCCTGCCTTTTTAAACAATCATTTGGCCCCACAGTGGTAAAACAGAATCGTGCAGGGGAGGTGTGTCATCTTCCCCACCCTTGTTGGTGTCCCAGGAAGAGTGTGGGGACATGTGAGATTGCATTACCTGGCCCTGGACCCTCCCTGGTCCTCCCACCCCAACCCAGCTCCCTCCTCTGAGCTATCAGTGCGGTCTGAGGGGTACAGCCAGGAGACAGCTGCCTGCTCTACACCCTACCCACCCACCTCTGCTCTCCCACCTTTGACACCCCTGCTGGAGTTCTCAAGTAGGTGTCCTGCCCTGGGAACCAGGAGGCCCCAAGAAGACAAACCCTTGGAGCCTCCATGTCATCATCTGTGGAACAGGCTCACTGGCTCCAGGCGTGGTGTGGCCTTGCACTGAGGAGAAACCCCTGGCACAGAGAAGCTTCCCAGGAAGGTATTTACATGCGATTTGAGCTTTTTCTGAAAATGTCATGTCTGGTTCTCACAAAGGCTGAAGTCACACGATAAACCCTAATTTTTCAGCTTTGAAGACAATGAACCTGAAGCTCAGAATGGCTGACAGCCTTGACCAACATGGCAGAGCTGGCCGGGGGCCAAGGTACAGCAGTCTGGACCAGCGTCTCTGGATTCTGGAACATCAGCAAGGCCGAGGAGTGTGCACAGGCATGTATGTCACTTCCACGGCAGATGTCCAGGGAGCCTCCTAGAGTCCTATACCCAGGTCAGGGCTCAGCATCTGTCAGGCTGGCCACCATTTCCTTGACTGAATCCCAAATTGGTCCAGGAGCCAGTTCCAAGAGCCCCAGTTCATCCTGGAGGGAAGGCCCCTGGGGAGGCTGAGCCAGAGCTCCTGGATGCAGAACTGTGTGCTGCCTTCAGGGCTCACATGCAGGCAGGGTTCACTCTAGGAGAGTGTGCACAGCCAGCAAGCCAGATCTCCTGTCTGTGTCTCCTGTTTGTGGCTGTGCCCAAAGACCCTCCCTTGACTGGCACTCCTAAAGGAGGGCTGCCTTCTCTGGGATATTCTCCAGGAGCACCAGAACAATAGGACAAATTGGACTCAAGTTCCAGAGGGTACAGGTGTATGCTCTCAGCCCCCACACCTGCTCCTACATACCAATTCAACTCTGCCTGCATCCCGTCACCAAAATGAGTGGAGTTGGGTCCAGATTTGCCCTGCCATTCCTAACCCCACCTCTCCTATTGCCCCTGAGCAGACAGGTCTCAGCATCTGGAGTTCCATCAAAGTTTATAGAACTGGAGGATGTACTGGCCCCTACCATAAACCCTGCATGGTAGGATGTATGAGTAGGGGGAGGATAAATAACCCTTACACAGGAGTTTCCCAGTGTAGCACCCTCTTGCCTCCTTTATCCTCATGTCTGCCTATGAAGTGGGTTGAATGGTACCCCCACTCCCCAGATTT